GTCCTTGAGTCTCAAACAGGAAATACTCATTCCTTGTGATGGCTACCTAAGCAGCATTATGTTGAGTGAAATGAATGTGGTGAAGTAGCTCAAGAAGCATGAAGTTGTTACACTTATTTGCTCTTGCCTCTTTGGGTCTCAGCACATTGTGGCCACAGCTGCCAGGCCCCTTGTTATTTGGTATGAAACAAAAACAACTCAGTACATCAGACTAAATACACAAGGAAATACAAATGCACACACACCACCGGGACAGGATATTATACAGGTCTTTGTGAGCACAGCAGCCTATCACCGTGCCAGAATGAAATGAGAAAGCACATGAGCACTGCAAAGCAATGTTTTACCTGTACACTTGAAAGCGCAAGCAAGTTTCAGTGGCACAGATCAAATCCCCAAATTGCCATCAGTTTGGAAATTTGATTCAATTAGTGTTGCAATTCCTCATCACTTCTTCATGACTCTTCAGGCAGCTTGTTTCAATATAAAATTATAAAATAAAATATCTATCACTCCTACTAAGCACATAGTAAGTATCAAGAACAACAGAGAAACAAAAATAATACCTAAAACAATAAAAGACCAGTAGTTCCAATAACCACAGTAACAGTAATTGCAGCCTCATTTGAGTCCCCCCCCCCGCAAAAGTTGCCAAATACCAATAAAGGTGAGTAATTTATCTGTGTTGTAACATAATAAACATACAAATGCAGTAACACATTCTTTGTGGGTGTCTTAAAGACCTCTCCCTATTGAATTAAATTTAAATAGCAAAACTTCCGTTATGTAAATTATTTGAATTAGTACAACTAGTTTAGAAAAGAAATGCCCAATCTGGGCAGACTTTTCTTTCAATATTTTTGGTTGCACTACATCAAAGTATTGATCATAAAATTGACTTAAGTGAATTAGATATAGAACAGTGAACAAATCTGTTGCAATTGAGTTTTCAATCCATTCTTTTCTCGATTTTCAAATTTTACACAATTTTCAAACTTTCTTACTGTGCAGCTAAAATTCATTTCAAAACACAACTGAGGTTTTGTCCAAACCTACTAAAGTTTTAGGCAAGAAAGACAACTTAACAAAAGACATTTCTACCATCTAAAATAGCCCTCAGCCACACCTCAGAAACAACTATGGGGTTTATAGTAAGCTAGATACAAGAGCGAGTAGGCTATAAATCTTTATTTCTGTGCATTGCCCATCAACTCCAGCATTTTGCACACCTGTGTGGGAGTTCAACCCTTGAATGCTGGAAATCAGTAATTGTTGGAAATAGTTTCATTGACCTGTATACATTTCACTCTCCATATTCATGGATTCTGCATCCACAGATTCAAACATCCATGGATTTTGATATCCACGTGGGGTCCTGGAATAAAATATCAACATATACCAAGGGTCTTCTGTATTGTGCCAAGCATAATAATAATAGTAAAAATCATAATTATTGTCACTGTAGAAGTTAGTAGTGTCTGACATTCTGGTTAATGGGTAAAATAGAAGGGGCTCATTATGGAAATTCTATTACTTGATAGGAAAGTAACATAAAAGAGTTAAGTTAAACCAGTTGCATTTTTGGAGAAGCTGAAGACAACTGGAGGAAATGAAATTAGTTCCCATCACAACTAGAATAAGGTAGAGAAAGAAATAAGGAAGACACCCAAGTCATCGAATTTTTCTTGATTACTACTGCTCCTATTGACTTTCTCATTTGCTTTCAACAGGATTGTCCCTGACACTGATTGCATCAAAACTGTATTATTTATTTATTTATATACCGCCTTTCCCAGCCTTTCGGCGACTCAATTAGCTTATAGACAGCTAGTTTAGTGTAGTGGCTTGAGTGTTAGACTAGAATTCTGTGAGAGTTCAGCCAGGGTTCAGCCCATGTTTAACTCAGGCTCCTTCTACATGCCGTATAAAATCCAAATTATCTGCTCTGAACTGGATTACTTGCTTTGATAATCTGGATTACATGGCATTGTGGAATAGCCTCAGTGGGTGAGTTTGGGCAAGCCACACATTCAGAGGAAGATGGTAGCTAACCACTTTGAAATCTTCCTAAGAATTCTCCATGTTTGGTTCACAAAAAAGTTGCCATAGGCCAGAGTCATCTTAAATGCACATAATAGCAACTAATTTAGCTGGTAACTCCTGTCAGGAAAGATGAATAACCATAATACATCAGTGTTGAGACTTAATAAATATTAAGTTTCAGCAATATCTCTTCCTTGGCCTATGTCATGCTAAATTTGTTCTGTCAGTAGGGGGGATATTTCACGATACGTTGAAAATAGAGCTGTCAACATAATCCAAGGCTATCTGGCTCTTGGATACATTCAAATTTAAACTGCAAGAAGGAACTCAGCATGTGTAGAATGTTGCCTGTGATGACTTCCTGTCTTGAAAAATAGGAATTCCCCACAGGAATATAGTTTGGTCTGAGCTGGCAAGTTAGCAAAATTTTGTATTACAGAAGAGAAGCCAATAATATGGCAGATACATTTTATGTGGGCTTCACTATGAGTCTAAATTTCATTTTCCTAACTGCTGTTTGTGCTGTTGAGAATGATGATCACTTCTTTCCAGATCAAATTGTAATTCAGGCTAAGTGGTGAGTGGCCAGTAGGTGGAATGCTATGTAGGAACATGATAGCTTAGGAAGAGATAGAAAGACTGAAGATTCAGCCTTAACCTAGAGCACAAGGAATGAGAAGCCTTTCAAAACATATCTGAGGGAAAGGCCCTTACAGATCCTAGTTTAGAGGTCATGTTTTCTTCTACTTCCAAAAGGTTGCTGGACCTAAATACCCTAAAGTCACCAGATTCAACTGATTTTAGAAGTTAAGCAGGATCAGTTCTGGTTAGCACCTGAACGGAAGGCTACCAATTAATACAATGCACACACATGAACTTTTGTGACTTTTTCAAAGCAGTCAATATGTATTTTGAAATAAGTTGATTTCATTTTTTTTAAAAAAAAAAACAACCTTCTCTCCTTCTTTTTGAAGAAAAGCCATATTCTTCAAAGCTGTTCTTTTGTTCATACATACAAGAGCTTGGAGATTTCTCTGATTAATTGGCTAAGATTCCACTAGTCAGTTCATGAATCAGTTTCTAACATCAGCAATTCCTTCAGTCAGATGACATTTGAACTGGTCCTAACTGAAAGGTGGTCCTTTGAAATGGCTGTTTTTATGACATTTCTAAACTAGTTGAAATACATCCTTCTCTAGTAAAGAGGAATCCTTGAGTTGCTTGCCAAGCTTGTCTTGACAGTCTAGTTTAACTCCTGTTTTCTAAACCATTTAAAAGAGGAGAGGACCATAGTCCAGCATTGCAACTTTCACTGTCCTAGCAAGGAGTCATTTTTTTTTTAAAAAAACCAAAACAAACAAAACAAAACGGCAGGAGGGCAAATGAATAGCTCTCTTTATGGGCAGTTCTGTCCAACTCTTAACTTCAAATTTTAGGTGCTTATCCCAGTAGGGTTCCATTGCAATTTTGGGCAGATTAGATAATAGTCTGAACAAAACTGCTGCAACATCCCTTTATTTTTTATATTACAAATCTTGGCAGCAAAATGGAAGAAGTAATAACAGAGATTAGAGTGACTCAGTGATTCTTATGTTGCCAGAGTGTATTGTAAGTTGTGCTGGATTGCCCTCCCCCCATCATTTGAGTAAAGATGTTTGGGAAGGTTTGCACAAAGAGAGAGGCCTTGTGGTAGAGCAAATTACAGCTCTCAATGAAATGCGTCTTCCTTCAATTTTTTTTAAAAAATGACAGGGATGGAGGACAAACATTTTGGGTTCTAGATGCTACCATCCTGAATTTAATCAGTTGGGGATTATCTAGCCTTGGAAACATTCATCTTTGAATCAGGAAATCTAAAGACGAAGATATAGAATGAGATTAGAAAACAGATAGTTGAGGAAGGTTGGGATGATAAGTCCTTTGGAGAAATGGGACATCTGCAGTGGGTGGGTGGATACATTTGGGTTCAGTACAGATGAACTAATTCAGAATATTTTTATGCTACAGTAGAATCTTGCTTATCCTACATAAACAGGCTAGCACAGTGTTGCATAAGCGAAAATGTTGGATAATAAGGAGAGATTAAGGAAAAGCCTGTTAAATGTCAAATTACTTTATGATTTTACAAATTAAGCACAAGAACATCATGTTTTACAACAAATCGACAGAAAAAACAGTTCAGTACATGGTATCTTTATGCAGTAATTACTGTATTTACAAATTTAGCACCAAAACATTGTGATATATTGAAACAGCTGTAGGAGGCAGACTGCGTTGAATAATACAGAACGTTGAATGAGCGAAGATTGCATAAGCGAGACTCTACTATATATCTTAATTTCACAGCTGAGGGTGTTACCTATAACCATTCTTCCTCTCATGTGGATTTTTGTTTAGAGTTTATTAGGACTTTTAGTATAGTGCTTGGTAATTCTGGTGTTGGGGGCCCAAAATTACTTTTTCCATGAGCCAGAGATCAGTCCCTTATTACTGTCCGTTGGCTACAATTATTTCTTTCCTTCCTGGTGACTCAACAAGGATTGGCAGTCAGTGGCTCATGAACTAGAACCAGTGCATGGACCACCACTCTGAGTGGTCCTGCTCCAGTATATTCTAAGATCCTGTGAGGCCCCTTCCACACAGCTGAATAAAATCCCATATTTTCTACTTTGAACTGGCAATGTGGACTCAGATAACCCTATTCAAAGCAAATATTGTGGGATTTTCTGCCTTGATATTCTGGGATATAGGGCTGTGTGGAAGGGCCCTTGGATGGGAAAAGGGCTACACCAAAGTTGATTGAATTAATTTTTCACTTCTTAAAGAACTACATACCTCCCAATTTTGGTAATGGGATTATCTTGTATTTTTATTACTTGTTATAGTATTTCCTTTGGTATATTTCCCTCTTACTGCTTGAAAATTTAATGTGCTTGTTTATCTCCCACATTCTGTAGGAAATGAATTGCTGTTTTTCTGGATGCTGGTGAAAATTACAGTGGGCAACAAGAGGCAGAGGCAGGATGCTGACTGTAGAGAGGAGGAGACAATAAATGCCAGCCCTCCCAGAGTCTTTCTTGGGATAAATCAGCTTGAAGCTACCAATGAATATTTCTATGGAAGACTGTTAAAGTAGGGCAAACAGAACTGCCAGCATTTACACACTGGAGAAAACGTGAGTTCCTAGCAAAATCTCTAGTGTTAAAAATAATTTATAATTTTATTTATAACAGAATTATCATTGTTGGGCAAAATTAGGTGAAATTATGCACCACAAGGCAAAAAAGTATTCATTATTTTCATTAGTGCTTGTGTGTTGTGCATTAATTTCAATGGAAGAGTGGTATATATTCAATTTTTATGACTGTGATAATTTAAATTCTGTTGAATAGGGATGTCTAGGACTGTGTAACTGGAGTGTAATTCATATGGGAACAATGCCTAAATTCTAAATAAACATTCATAAGGTGATGCCTTAATGAACACAGGCCTACTTTTTGATGTGATATAAAACTATTTAATTCTAAAATTTTGGACCATTTATGGATTGTTTTCTCATGTCAGAACATATAGCACCAAAATCGGCATGCATATGTATATAGGCCAGCTTCTAGTGTTCACTAACACTTGGACAGATATTTGAAAGTTGGCACTCTTGAGAAAAGTGTCCCAGACATCACCAGAAAATGGTTCCTTTGGTGTGTGAAGCCAGGTACAAAATACCAATTTCATCCATTTCACAGAAATCAAGCAAGTGAGTCTGAAACAAAGCATATTCATCAGAATCATGCAAGGCAGAAACAGGGTCCATTCCTTTGAAACCAACATTTTATGCACAGCCATTTCACAGGAACCAAATAGTTAATTTCCTCAATTCATCTCGAAAGTCCCTTAAATCATCCTACCTTTTTAAAAATGAAAATCATTACCCTGTTCATCTTTCTGTCTTCTACTGTTGTTTTCTACTTCTGTCTTCTAATTCTACTATTCTACTGAGTCAATGTGGTATAATGGTTTGACCATTAGACTGTGACTCTGGAGAGCAGGGTTCAAATTTCCACTTGAGCACAAAAACCACTGATCAGCTTGGACAAATCATGTACTCTCTGCCTCAGAGGGAGGCAGAGGCAAACCTCTTCTGAGCAAATCATGCCATAAAAACTTTGTGCTGCCTTCGCTGTTGTGATGGTGGTGGTGATTAGGCTCATGTATACCCTGTCTTTAGCTCAAGATCAGAACTCAGTGTGGCTATTTCTCACATTCATCCATCCACCATCTATTTTAGATAGATAGATCCTCACCCCCCATTTCTTAATATCCCCCACCAATCCATCTTTTTTACTGCTGTCTTCTAATAAGCACTGGCAAATATTCTCTGTTTTTCCTTTAAGAACATATTTGGTTGGATTTATCGTGTCTTCAGAGGAGGGCAGCACCTACCAAAGTTCTGGTTGACTGCCATCTTGATTTATCCACTTGCCTCCAGGATCCCATATTGACCCTGAGGAAATTAAGACAATAGTTGACTAAAACTTTGAGACACACATTGTCCCGCTAGGAAAATATGTGTGAAGGGCAGAGAATCTTGTGGGCATCCATGTGTTTTGTAGTACTGGTTAGATTGTATATTTAGGGAAATCACGCTGGTTCAATGAAGAGACATGGTGAAGATAACAGGATGTATGCAGGTTAGAGTCTTCTTTGCTCATTACTGAGGCAAAGTTTTATTTATGCTCATCTATGGCCCAAATTCATCTGGAGCACAGTATTTATTTATTATTTACGATATTTCTATCCCACCTTTCTCAAGCCCGAAGACAAATTGGCAGCAATTTGATGCCATAACAATCCACAATATACAATTAAAACATTTAAAACAACATTATAAAATTCATACAAAAACTATTAAAACATATAATAACAAATGTCTCCCTGTTAATCTCTTTTTCCAGTAGCATCGTCAAAGCCAGGTTTCAATCTTACATAATTTTGTGTTTGTCTGTTGCACTGCATTTCTAAAGGCTTGTTCAAAGAGCCAGGTTTTTACTTTTTTTCAGGAGGTCAGGAGGGAGGGGGCCAATCTAATATCCCCAGGGAGGGAGTTCCACAGGTGAGGGGTCTGTCAGACGCACCTGCGAAGGCCTGTCAGATGCACCTGCGAAGAAGGCAGGATTGAAAGCAGGGCCTCCCCAGATGATCTTAGATTCCTAGATGGTTCATAAGGAGAGATACGTTTGAACAGGTAATCTGAGCCAGAACCAGAACCATAAACACAGAGCCAGGAAAAGTATCATGCTGACTGTAGGGATTGTGGGAGGTGTTGTCTGCAACAAAAGGTAACATTTTCTAATTCTACCATATTATACTGTGAGAAGTATGTGAAAATAACCAGGTACTCTCACAATATACTGGCGCATATATGCAGGCACACCTCTGGGAACCAATCTTGTGGCAAATACTTTTTACAAAGTCTTTTTCTGCCCACCCAGCTTGTCCTCGTTCTAGTGAAAGTTTTAAAAACACATTAGCATTGGACAGGCGATGAAGGACTGGAGAAACACAGGCTTTCAGTTGCTGAGTTGTATAAGTATGTCTATAGTAACAATACAATAAAGCTTGAGCTGGGAAAGAATGGAATACTTTTCAGCTATCCTGTTCTAGTTACCTGTGTCTGCCTAAAACAGGCAAAATGTTAGCACCTGTCTCTAGAGTGAAAGTGAGGGTGCTTCTGGATAGCACTAAATCACAGGTTTTAAATAGAGGCAAAAATCCTGGGACTTCAGAAGAGGTCCACATACAGACATGTTGGTCCCAGAATTTCTGCCTCCATTGTCCAGACTTGATGCTTTGTTACGAGATTTGGAGACTCCCAAGATGGCTACCACAAGACTTCCACTGGAATCTTTGGCATTTTTTTTTTAAAAACCCTCAAGATGTGGATATATGTATATGCAGAGCATCACTGCAGCAAATCACTGCAAAAGTTCAGTTCTTTGTCCTGGCCAGAGAAACTGTGCTCTCCAGATGTTTCATGATACATCTGCCACACAAGCAAAGTAAGAACACTTCTGCCCAAGTCAGCACTGTACGATCAAACAGGAACACACACTTTCAAGCCAGGAACCGAATTTTGTTGTTATTGACACTTTTTAGAGCCTGGCTGCCTGGGCATCTGTCCAGACAGATTTGGTTGTGTACATGTGGAATCAAAAAACAGGGTATTGTTCCTGGGTTATACATGGCTGTTCCTGATGCCTCTTCTTGTGAAAAAATGTACAACATTGACTAGGGGGTCACAACTTTGTCCTGGCCAGAGAAAATGTGTCCCCCACATATTTTCTGGCACACAAACAAAGTTTTTGCCTTCTATTCAAGTGTCACCTTCTTTTTAGGAACCGACCAATCAGGAACAAACATCTAAAACCTGGGAACAAATCCAGATAAAAAAATCTCGTGATTTCCAATTGCAGGGACATACAGACGTGTGGAGATCTGCATATTCGGCTCAAAACCACAATATTCCAGCACCTGGATTTTTGTTTTTTGTTTTTTGCCATTTGTAGCAATTACTTCCGCGTTTACAGGGAACAGTGTCTGGCCACCCTCTTGTTTGCTGTGGAAGCTCCTGGGATAAAGGTACTGTCTGGACAGGCCCTGCCTCACTAGCTTTCTCCATGTTTTAAAAGCATACATTTATGAGTTTGACTATCAGAATGAAAAACACAAGAAAAGTGGAGACTGGTCATCCCTTAATACATTTTGGACCAAGCTTTCATACTGCAGAAAGTTCAAAATGTTTTGTTTACTTATCTAAGGCTTATCTGACATGATTGTTTCATTTCATGTGGTTATAGCATTAATTTTGAATGAGAACTTCAGTGGAACACATTGAACTACTCTTTAGAAATTCATTTGCTTTGTTAACTAGTACAGCCAGTTTCAGATATTTTTGATCTTGCATTAAGTTTTCAGGAGGAAGGACAATGTAGCACAGTGATATGTGACTTTGCCATGCATGTTCTTAAATAAAAATTATGTATACCTTCAAAACGCAGGCAGGTCAAGTGTTTCTTTATATGCTGCTTTTAAAACATTTGCTTAGTCAATTTTGAGGAAGGTGAATGGAAAGAGAATATTCTTTTTAAACGTTTGAACTACCTTTAAAAAATAAACAATGGTTGAACTGATGAAAATGTTCATAAACAGGAAATAATTTAGAAAATGAAAGTAAGCACTGTAAAAATGGTACATGGTATTTTAGAATCCACAGTGCGATTTACGCTTAATTCTTATCATGTAGTGTTAAAAATTTACAAACGCCTTGTAATTGCAGTAGCATTTTAAAACCAGCTATTTGTGACCCTGTCTGCTCAAGAGGCTTAAACTCCAGCATTTCACAGCTACCTTAGAGCAGAAAATTGACTTTGGGTCTTGTAAGAATATCTAAATGTAGGCTGTTGAATAATCCCTTTGGGGGCCCTGTAACTATTTTTGTGCCTGGATATGCGTCATCAGTGGGTATTTTCTCTGGTGACTAGCTTACATCAGTAGGTCTCCTACCATACATTCTGTATGATTGATGGGAGTCACTACTCTCATTTAGCTTTTAGCTGTGACCTCGGAGAATGGACAACCGGAATTGGCAGGCTGCTAGATTCTTTAGAGTGGCTGGAAGGATGGAGAGAGTGGATATTTCTGATAAATAAAGGTAGTACCGGAGATGACATGACAAATTAGGAGGTGGGGTGTTTGTGTTTTGTTTCTAAAAGGTATTTCATTCTGCAACTATTGTTCAGTTTTCTTTGGAAAGATGTGACTCCTGTGCCAAAGGCATAAGCAGCAATTGAATTTCTGAGCGTGCTTTGTTTCTCAGGGATGCTATGTACTGGAGTGTAGCAGGAGCAGTCTGTATGATTCAGAGAATGCTTGCCGATTGCTTGTTGTCCTGCAGCTCTGCTTAGAGGCGATGCTGTGGAATGCAATATTCCTGCACTTAAAATAAAATTTGAGGAGGGAGGCAGGTGACCATGCAGCCTTCAATCCAGATGGCCTCCAGGTGAAATCATAAGGTGCAATAAGTGAAGCCGGTCTAAAATTGATGAGTTACATCTGGCACTGTGTCTTGCTGAGTTTCTGGTAGCAATTAATTTCCTGATCTTACTCAAGTAATGTCTT